AGAAGGGTGTTGCTGCCTCCCCACACCCCCTCAGCTCGAGGGGAGGAGTCTTGGATGCTTCTCCCCCAGGCCCACACCATTCTCTCCTGTTCTTTCTCCAAAGGTAGGAGGTGACCCGCTCTGGGCTAGAGGAGTATATAAAGTTTTTCAGGAGTGCTAACATTAAATTCCCATCCAGAGGAGGAAAACCAGCCAAAAACGATATTGGGACAATTGATAAAAATTGAATATAGACTGTGAATTAAAGAGCAGCATCAGTTCAATGTAAAATGTCTTGATTTTAATAATTGCATTGTGGTCATGCTCTTAGGAGATGTACAGTGAGATATTTCGAGGTCAAGGGTATGCTGTCTCTGATTCATAAATGATATATATATGATGAATGGCGAATATATATATGAGTATATAAATAGAGAATGATAAAAACAATGGAACAAAATGTAAATAAATTGTGAATCTAAGTAAAGGGTATACAAGAGTTTCTTGCACTATTCTCACAATTTTTCTCTAAATTTGAAATTATATTAAAATAAAGTTATAAAAATATTCCCATAGAGTGGCATGCAGCAAACACCCTGACAGGTCTCAAGATCCAGGGAAGTCTGAAGCTGTCATCCCCCTCTCCCCGCAGCTCTACTGGCAGTCAGACGTCCGCCCCACTAGTGGGCTGGGGAAGCGCTGCCCAGGCTTGTGTGGACAGCACAAGGTATGGCCCTGAGACTATGGCAAGGCACAGCATGGTGCGACAGGAGCCTAGAGCAGGGTTGTCCTCACAGTTCCACATTTCACTAGCTGTGCGACCCTGGGCAGGACAATGTAGTTCTCGAAGGATCAGTTTTGCTCATCTGTAAAATGGGAACAACTATTTGTGCCTTGGTTGAGTGAGACTGGCCTGAAGTGACGTAGACTGAGTGCCCAAGATGATGCCTGCTGCGTGGTGCTCAATCAACTCTCGTTCTGTATGACAAGCAGATGCTCCCCTGAGGCGGTACCCCCAAAATATTCATTCTAGCATCTGTACAGTTTCTCCCTCCAGTCCCCCTCATAAGAGGAATGTTATCATTCCTCCTCAACCAAACCGCATTCCTCTCCTCCTTCCTAACCCAGCCCAGAGCTTTCCTCATTCCGAAATCTTCCGAAAGAACCCTACTTCACTCCCGCACTTGTGAGTTGGTATCTGGCAGGTTAACTTGCACTTTTGTCAGTTTTCTCTCATCCGACCCCTTGGGTCAGGGCAGACTGACTGGGCTTTTCCCTCATATTCCTCAGTGCTTGGCAGGGGCAGTGCTCCCCGGGGCTCTCAGGCCACAGTGTGGATGAGCACTGTGCCCTCTCCCACCTGATGGCTCCCTCACAGGCCCAAACATCAGAGCCAGCGAGCGGAGGGCATGCAGAGACAGAACTGGCCATGATCTGTTTGACAAGGAAACCACTCGGCCTTCCCTTGAAGATGGATTTCCTGGTTACATCAGGTGCTTCCCAGCCCTTGACAAAAATGAAACATACACAGCCAGACCACTCAGGGACATGAGAATCTGGGCTTTCTCATGGAATCAGAGATGTCTGGGCCTGGGGATGGCTAAGAGGAAAAGGCAAGTTGCAGAGGTGTAGAGACTGTGTAATTCCGTTTCTGTGGGAAGAAAAACCCAACGGATGGATTTGCACGTGTGTATGTGAATGCTCAGGAAAAAGTAACTGTGAACAGATCTGAGGAGGTGAGCGGAATGGGGGGTAGACGAAGGGCTCTCACATGGTGCTTGGAGTACTTCTATACTGTTTAAAATGTCCAAACACAAATGCATGCGTATTTACTTATATAATTAATAAATAATACAAATTATCCCCCAAAGTGAGAAAAGAACTGGGAGTGCAGACCTCAGAGACATCCCCTTCATTTCCCATCTGTGGACAGCAGCCTCCTCAGGCGCCTCCTGGGAAGGAGCCCCATGGCGTTCTGCAGGCGCCCAGGGAACTCTGCAGGGTTGTGAAGGACCAGAGCGCGTGTGCGGCAGCAGGTGGAGTGGCACCAGAGCCACGCTGACAATGTTCCTCGTGCCCCAGCTGGGGACAGCTTGGGGTGATGAGGGGCTGGGTGGATGGGCCGGCAGAAGGATTCCAAGTGGCCATTACTGTGCATGGAAAACATGCTTCCATTCCTTTGGGAGTAGATGTCCATCTGTGACTCCAACAAGAAGGCTTTCTACACAGCGAAATTCCCTTTCAGCAGACAAGTAGTGTCTGGAGCACTCTCTGCCAGCCCTGCCCCTCCCCTAAGCAGCACTGCTGACTGAGCCCCATTCCCCGCTCCCTCTGGAGGGGTAAGAACCATGGCTTCCAGCCTCTACACCACAGAGCACCCTGCCCCCACCCTAAAGATGCAGTGGAGATACTCTGAGGACCTGGGCATGAGGGGCCTCAAGGCAGTTCCACACTTAACGAAGGCAGTAGAGGAGACCCCCTAAGCTTCCCAAGATCAACAGGGCAGGGGCACTGGGCTTCCCTCTGGAACGGCTGGTTTCCAGCATGACCAACCAGACACTGGCAGGGCTGGGGGGCTTTAACAAACACTGAAACCTGGATCCTACCCCCAGAGATTCTGATTTCATTATTCTGGGGTCCAGCCCAGGCAGCAGTGTTTTTTCACTTTGGTGAGGAAGATGGGCCCTGAGCTAACATCTGTGCCAATCTTCCTCCATTTTGTACGTGGGATGCCACCACAGCATGGCTTGACAAGTAGCATGTAGGTCCGCACCCAGGATCAAACCGGCGAACCCCAAGCCATCGAAGCGAAGCACAGGAACTTAACCACTATACCACCCGGCCAGCCCTGAGACAGCAGTGTTTTTAAAAGCTCCCCAGGTGAATCCCATATGCAGTCAGGGTGGAGAGCTCCTGTCCTAGAATTGGATGATGACAACTTGACTGGGGTTTTCCACAGCCTTCTCTTCTCCAGGGCAAAGAGCCCAGGTCCGGGGTCTACTCTCAGTCTCCAGCTCATTTTTCTCCTTCATGGCTGTCCTCTGACCCCCCCTCACTTCCCCCAGGATCTCATTGGAATGGATGTACCAGAGCTGAGGACAGGAGGCGGCTGACCTCCCAGCTCGAACTCCATGTATTCCTGCTTCTGCCCCCAGGAGGGGTGAACAACCGTGTCCGACCCCCAATTCACAAGCACTTGATGCTCGTCTAAGATCCCACATCTCTTCCGCTTACGTTTTCCCTAAAAGAATAGATCATGGGCCCAAGAAATCCTTTTGGAAGACAAAATCATTAACTCATTCTCACTAGGTTTTTCTTAGAATTATTTACGCACTTCCAACAATTTATTACATGTCCACTCTTGACAGTCTGAGGCTCCTCACTGAGGTTAAATATCCACGAGAAATTATAATTCCAATCTGGCTGGCCCAACATACTGAAGGCTGAGCACCCCCTGACAGCCCGGCTGGGACAGGCACGGGGAACCTCAGCTCATCATTAGGAAGCTAAATACACCACTTTGAAAAGAAGAAATGGGAATAAAACTAAGTCACAGAACGCTGCCTTGTAACGGAAAAAGAGAAGCAGCCTTTGAATTAATGAAGCTCAGTCACTTTCCTCTGTTCGTGGGGGTAATTAAGAGTTTGTCTTGTCTTTGGTTTTTTGAAACATAGAAAGAGTGTGTTGGGGATGTCCAAGCAACTCCACACTTTCTGTTAAAACTAGAGGTTTCAAAGCATAGTTTTAACAAAATAAGACCAATAATTAATGAGCAGGGGAAGCCAAGGCTGCATTCGACCTTTGTGGACTCCAGGCAAGTCTGCCTTTGTGGGCCCCTTCCTCCATTAAAAAAGAAGAAAAATACATATAGATCCACACAGACACGTACATATATAAATTATATTTTATAACTGCATTGGTATAAAGATGAACATATCAATTTGATGAATCAAAACATTTTCTTTGACCTAAAAGTTTATTTTTTTCTTCTAATTTTATAAGATATTAAAACATTTCTGTGGGCCTGTAAAAGCATCATGGGCCCTAGATGCTGTGCCTTATAGGTAAGCAGGCCCTAGGGGAATCAAGGTCCAGAAAGAGGAGACAGCTGTGTAGAATCACACCTCCCCCACTCCTTGGCTGTTTATACCACAGCTGCAACTTGATTCTAACAGACACCCATAGGGGCCTTCTGTGAGCAAGGGACAGCACTGTCATCCCGGAAGGTGCGTGTGTGAGTAGGCCCAGTTACGGCCATCAGGGAACTTACAATGGCGGAGGGAGGATGAGAGGCAGACCCATCCCATCACCATGACACTGGGAAGAAGACGCCAACGGCAGAGGGAGGTGTGAGTGCCCTGGGAGCTCACAGCAAGAGAGAGTTACTGTTTGCTGAAGCGAGGACGAAGTCAGGGATGAAGTGGCTCTTCAGCGGGAGTCCATCCCATGAGAGAGGTGTCCCAGGGAGAGAGGTGCGGGAGCAAGGACATGAAGGAAGGAACACGGGGATGTCCAGTGCACACTGAGGAACTCAGTTTGGCTTGAGCATCTAATAGGAGTAAAGCAGCTGGGGAGCAGCACTCGGAAAGAGAGGCTGAGGCCAGTGTCAGAATGCGTCTGCACGTGTGTGGCAGCTGTGCCAGGGCAGCAACGAGTGACGGTTCGCTGGTATGGGATTGGTAGGCCCTGGGGCCACTGGGCACCCCACCAGGAGTGATAAGATCAGAGCTACAGCAGGGAAAGGTCTACCTGGCAGGAAAGACTCAACCGAGAGATCAGGAGAAGCTCTCCCAGGGTCGTGGTGAGAAGTAGAAAGGGCCTGAGTAAGGCTGAGGGTGGACATGGATGTGCAACACCACCAGGCTGTGGAGAGGTTGGGAAGAGAAGGGAGAGGGTGCAAAAAGGCCATTGTTGGTCACCAGGAGTTCACAAGGCACTCAGGCCAGACTTTGAGGAACCAGGGGCCTCTGATGCGGGCCCTTGGTCCTTGGGTTGCCCAGAAAACCTGAGCAGGTACTTACTTTCTGTTCCTAGCACAGGAGGAAGAGAGCTCTTGGGTCTCCGTGCTTTCAGCTCCCCGGCCTTGGCATTCTCACTGGTGGGAGCACCTGGAACAAAACAGGTGACCACAAACATCAGTGGGCAGCTGTCCAAGGAAATGAGCAGAGGAGGCCTCTAAATAAAACTCCCACCTCCACTAAAATTACAGCCCCTCCCCCTTCTCCTCCCCAGTCCGCTTGGAGGCCCCCAGTGCCCGCTGAGCAGCTGGCACTTGCGGCAGGGCACCGTCCTCCACAAGAGCACCAAAGAAGGAGTGTCCGCTCTGCTGGGCCTTATAAATCAGGTGGAGAGAACACAGTCGTCCTGGCAAGATGGATGGATGGGCTATCCCGGGAACTAGTTAATGCTTTCCCCTCTGCAGCAGGCACGTACTGCTAGAAATCACATAACTGGCAGGGCTGGGGAGAGTCGAGGCCACTGCTCACCTCTCCCCCTTCCTTGAGTCTTGATTCACTTGGGCTAAATGTTCTAGTTCCAAAAGCCTGCTCTGTGTAGAGAAGGGTCTTTCACACAGAGGAAGGAGGGGACAGGGTCCCTGCCCTTGGGCTCATGGTCTGGAGGGGGCTTGCAGCCTCTGAGTTCTCAGACTTCCTTCTACAGGTGGGCACTGACAGTCAGACCTCCAGACCAGATGAAGGCCTCTGGGCAGCTGATCAGCATGCCTCACTTGCTCTGGACTGAGCCTTGGACTCACTGTGGGGCTTCTGTACCCTCCCCAAAGCAGACGCAGTAAACCCCTGCAGCAGCGGCCTTCTGGGAAGGACTAAAATGCTGCACAGATGGGTGTGCAACTCCTCAGGCCTCTCCTCCACCCTCCCTCCTCCACGTTAATGCAAAGTGTGCATAAAGCCAGGGGAAACCCTTCCTGGTGGGAGCAGCAAGGTAACACCCACTGGGCTGGGCTGGGTGGGGCGGAAAAGGCCCTTACTGGGCCCCAAGGAGCCTGCACTTGAGGAAGTTGCAGGGAAACCACCCAGGACTCGGATAAGCAGCAGCAGGCTGAAGGGCTATCACTATGCTCCAGCATTTTCCCCACAAGGAACTCTCTTCAGGGACTGTGGTGGGAGGGAGCCTCCCCTCAGAGCCCCTTCCGGTCCATCCTTTTCCTGCTCCTCAAGAGAGGAAGCTCAGAGGGAGGAGGAGAGGGTGGGACTTTCCAGCTGAGGCTTGGACCACATTCCTGTGGCTAGGCTGGGGAGGAAGGGCCATCTCGCTGTGCCCACCTCCAGGCTGGGGCAGCCTGGCTGCTAACACAGGATCTCTCCTAGACCAGGCTCCTGGGGCTTTGGGGGGTGGGCACGGAAGCACAGAACTAGGGGCTGGGGATGTCCACTTGCCCAGCACGTGGACTCTTGGTGCTCCCATCTGGAGGCATTGCCCTTGTAGATGGCATTAGGGTCCCTTTCCTGCTCCAGATTGTGGATCTGCCCATATAAATCCCTCCACACGAACCAGCCGTCCTTCCCAACCTAATGCCCACTCTCCGTCAGCTGGGTGAGCCAGGGGTGGAGGCCCAGCACAGGTGCTGTCCAGGCTCACCAGCAGCTCTGAGGTGCACAGGCCTCCAGAGTCGGCGACAAGCTGTACGTGTGTAACTACAGGAACGATTAAACGTGGCCTTAAGTAGAACTTCCTAGCAGTATATGACAGCAGATGGGGCTAAGGGACCAAGCTGGAAGGAATCCTTTTAAGCTGCACTTGATAACCTGGCCCCCTCACCTGCCTCCATTCTCCACTGCATGTCAGCCTTCTGCCACCTCCTGTACGAGCAAAGAAGCCCCAGACGGTGAGTCAGGGGTCCCTGCCAACCAGAGCCAACACTGCCTGTGTCCTGTCTCCTCAGTGGGTCACCCACACTCCAGGTTCCACGTGGACGGGGATGGAGGAGCAGAAAGTTCCAGGGGAAGGGAGGGGGGTGACTTCATTTTCTCACAGTGGGGATTTTCCCCAGTCAGAGTGGTCACTCTCAGCTATAGAAAAGTCCTCAGTGCATGTTTGTCAGCCTCTGTGGTTCTCAGCCTGGGCTGCACATGAGAAGTACCTGTACCTGGGTTTCTCACTCCCCAGATCCTGGTTTAACTGGTCTGGGCCTGGTTACCTGGGACAGGGCCTGGGTATATGATCCAGAAGCTCCACAGATGATTCTAATACATTGCCAGGTTGAACACTCCTAGTCTCTCTCCTCAGGCTGTGTGTCTATGTGTGTACGTGTATATGTGTGTATGTATGCATGTATATGTGCGTGTTTATGTGTGCACGTGTTTGTGTGTATGTATGTGTACATGGGCAAGCATGCGTCTGTGTGTGTGTGCATGTGTATGTAGAGGTGGGGATGGGGCACAGGGAGGGTCTCAGGGACTATTCTTAGAGACAGGAAAACCTGTCAGCGCCTCCCGTGACATGTGGGGACTAGGATGCTATAAACCAGGGGGGTGGGGTAAGTCTACAGTTCCCTTGTCCGGAGCCCTTCCTTCAACACCAGCACTTCTGACAGGCCCCAATGACCCTCTAAAGACAGGCGCACCCACACGTTTGTTTCTTTCCCCCTTTCTAAGGAACAGGAGGAGAGGGCAGAGGACATGCGAGAGTTCTGTGCTCCTTGGTCTCAGTGCTCTCTTTCTCCTGGTGAGTTCTGGGGCATCAGAGGAGGGAGATAAAGATCAGGGTTTTTTAAACTGACGGGTAAACTGAGGCATAAGCAAGGAAAGGATTCGAGGCCCAGTTTTCCTGGGTTCCTGAAAGAAGGGAGACAGGGACTGAGATTCCTTCCCTCCTTGTGGGGTCGTGCGGGGCTGTGCTTCCCTAGGTATCCTGTTCCTCAGAGTAGGGATGAGAGAGCAGTGTTCTGGTTTTGGCTTTGGCATCAGCAATCTTGGGATTGCAGGCAAATCATGTCAACTGTACTGGGTCTCTATTTCCACCTCGGTACCAAGGGAATGACACTGATTTTCTCTGTCTCACAGTGTTAGGAGGCTCAAAGGAGAGAATGAGTGTGACAGTGCTCTGGAGGGCAGAAAAATGACCATTTACGGTTCACTCCTCCTGCTCAGCACGTTTCCTCGCCTCCTTCCAAGTCTGCTTTAAAACTCTCCACCTTCAGAAAGCCCTCCCTGACCGCCCCCAGCCATGTTTCCAGCCTCTGCATCTGCCCTCCGCTCTTTACACTGACGTGTCAGCACACTACCCTGTCATGTGCTCTGAGCCTTGTTTTTAGAAATTCCGTGCAGCTTATCTTTCCATCTGGCCATGAGGAAAGGGGCTCAAGTTTTCCTTTCAAGCCAGACACAACCCCCAGATGTGGAGCCCTACAGGGTGCGACGGAGCCCCCCTCCCTTCTGCAGCCCCTCCACCCCCGCCCACGGGGCTGTGCATGCATCACGAGTCACTAGACCTCCGTGAGAACCGCGGCAAGGACCACGTGCTTAATCAGAACCAGGTTTGTGCTCACACGCTGCCCAGGGGATAAAAATAATAGTAATAAAAGTTTAACAGCAACTTGTCTTTTCTGTCTATTTTAATCAGTTTGTGATGAAATTGAACTCCATTTCTAGATCTGGGACCCAGGGCTGGAGTCCTTTGCTGGCCTGGTTGTGCCCCCAAAGAAGCATGTGGGAGGATGATGGCAATGTGGGGATGTGGGGGGCCCAGCAGAGAGAGGAAAACGTGTCCTTATATGGAAGCACCTCACCCCTTCCCTCCTGGGCTAGCTCTGCACTCAGCACTCTGGGCAGCATTTTTCCTTCTGCCTCCCCAGGAGGTCGGTTCCCTGACTCTAACCTAGGCAGGAGGGACGAGGTCTTAGGAGGCTTCTGGGAGAGGGTCCACGAAGGGCAGGGCAGAGCGACTGGCCTCTCTTTCTGCCTGAGAACAAGCAGCATGCTGGCATAGTCAGGAGAGAGGGAGCTCGAGTCAGGAAACAGCTCCCTTCTGGTCTTCTGTTTAGTGACCACGAGTCCTTGGGCAAATGCTTGACCTTCTTCACCAGGAAAACGGGAATAACAACACCCCAACAAAGGGGTGAATGAAACGTAAAGTAACAGCTGGTGTTTATCGGGTACTTAGTCCATGCTGATACTAAGTGCTTTTATGCTTGTTTCAGTTGAAACATACTATTTGCCAACATTCAAGTGTTTTTGATCTATTAAAACGGCAATTTAGTTCACCCTAAGATACATCAGCTGCCTGTGATGAAATAAAGAACAAGAGTGAAAGTGAGAGCAGACTTATGAATATGGCAGGACCGAGGCCAAGAAGAGAATAGTGGGTTGAAATCAGCTCAGTCACAATCAGAGGTGCCCGACGGCCATGGTGGCAGTGGACTGCAATGGTTAGGAGCCAAGGCGTGGGTTTCAGTTCCCACCCAGCCAGGTATTAGCTGCATGGCCTTCAGCAGGTCACTCAGTCTCTTTTACTGTCACTCCCCCAAACCCGTTTGCCATGGTTACAAAGTATCTCTGAGTTGCCAAACCCAATGGCCCAGTGGCCAATGCTCAGGCTCATCTTATTCTATTTGGCAGCAACATTTGACGCATTGCTCTCCATCATTCCTTTCTTACTGAAATGATCACCATCTGGCTTCTGGAACACCCCTTTCTCCTGGATTTCTTCCTGTCTCACTGTGACCATTCCTTCTCAGTCTCCTTTGCAGACCTCTGGCCTGACCTACTTCTCAGCGTTGGACTCTGCCTCCTTCCCTCCTCCATCCACAGCCACCCCTAGGGACCCATTCAATCCCAGGGCATTCAATGGCCTCATATGTGGATGGCTCCCCATATCCTGCCTCCAGCCCTGACCACCCTTCTCCACTCCAGATTCATCTAAATGCCTGCCTATGTGACACGCCCACTGGATGTCCAATGGACATCTGAAACGTCACACGCACGAAACTCTCGATTATTCCCTTACCCCTGCATTCTGCTCAGTAGGTGGTACCACCGTTGATCTGCTCTCCCCGAAAAGACTCAGAGTCACCCCTGACCTCCGTTGCTCTCTCTCCATTTCCAATTCATCAGCAAATCCTATCAGCTCTACTGCCAAAATAGATTATGAATCTGAATATTTCCTGCCTCTCCCATTGTCTCCTCTCTGGGCTATTGCAACAACCTCCTATCTGGTCTCCTGCTCTCCCTTTTACCCGTCTTGGGCTGGTCACCACACAGTCACCTGAGTGATCCTTTACAATGTCTGGCGTTGTCCCATCAAACTTAGAATAAAATCCAGTTTCCTTGTCACAGCCTCCATGGCCTTGCCCATCTGGTCACTGGTCCTCCTCCACCTCATTTCCTACCACTCTGGCCTTGGCTCGCAGGCGGCCACCCTGGCCTCCTTCCTTCTTCTTCTGGGAAGGCCTCAGGTACAGTCTCTGCTCAGAGCTTTGCTCTCGCCTTACCTCTTCCTTCCGACTTCTGGGACTCCTTCTCACTTCCTTCAGGCCTCTGTTCAGATGTCACTTCTGCAGAGAGGCCTCACAGCCACTCTCCTCCAACAGCAGCATTCCCTCCCCCACAGCCTGCTTTGCTTTCTTCGGAGCATGTGACACTGCCTGAGCTTACAGGATGAGCCTGTTCATCCATACCACTGTCTCCCCCACTAGAATGTGAATTCCCTGAGAACAGGACCTTCTTCTGTTTTTGCACTGCTTTTAACCCCGGCCCCTGGGGCAGTGCCTGGCACAGAGTGGGCACTCATGTACTTGTCGAATGAATGACAGTGTGGGTGCCCACTGCAATGTCGCCTCCTACCACGCACCTATGCGACCCTCCATGGTCATGAAGCCCTTGACCTCAATGGCAGCTGTGGCCAGATGCCCTGGGCTGGGGTGGCTGGGGAAGGGCAGCCCCAGCTGCCCTGTATTGGGATTTTGACCTTCAAAGGGCTTTGTTCCCTCACCTCTCACTGGGTCTGAATGAGAAGGAATGGGTCACTTAGGCCAGAAGTGTAGAAGGACTTCCCAGCAGAAAGGGCCGTTACTAAGGGACACCTGGGTCTCTTGAGAGTGGACGCTGCCCTGCTCTTCACTAGACGGGGAGGCCACACTGGGTGGTGGGAAGGTGCAGCAGCAGAACTAGACACACCCGGGTTCAAGTCTTGCCAGGGTAACTTAAGCGTAACTCCCTGTGCAGGGTGGCTCGAGGGCGGGGCTTTGGATCAGAGACGCCCAGAGACGCTGCATCTCTCACGTACTGTCTGCATGAGCCGGGAAGGCTGTTGGCCCTCCCTGAACCTCGATTCTCCCCTGGAGAAAGATACCCAGCCCAGCTGTTGTAGAAACTAAAACTGCACAAGAGTCTCTGGCCACGGCAGGATTGAAGGTCAGTTTTTTCTCCTCCTGGGTGAGTTTTCTGGCAAGTCCTGACCCACTCCAGGCTTCAGTTGCCTCCTGTGGTACAAGCTGACACTTGCCTTCTGCTGTACTTGGAAGGAATGGCAATGTGACCATAATCAGGAAAGTGCACAAGAGCATCCCTTTTTCTTAGGGAAAAGACCCAAGCAACATGATTAAAATAGCCAGATGTGCTGTACTATAAAGACTACCTCCCTTTGTTTTTACTATAAGAAGGAAACAGTAGTGTGGATAATACAGAACAGCCAATGAGCCAAAGTAATCCTTTTTTTTTTTTTTTTTGGTGAGGAAGATTGGCTCTGAGCTAACATCTGTTGCCCATCTTCCTCTTTTCGCTTGAGGAAGATTGTTGCTGAGCTAACATCTGTGCCAATCTTCCTCCATTTTCCATGTGGGATGCCACCACAGCATGGCTTGATGAGCAGTGCGTAGGTCCATGCCCAGGATCTGAACCCATGAATCCCGGTCTGTCAAAGTGAAGAGCGTGAACTTAACCACTATGTCACTGGGCTGGTCTCCCAAAGTCATTTTTATGAGGTCTTGAAATATATTGTTATATTGCCCACAGATGTATAGTCTTAATGGTGTTTAACACAGGCTGTGTGAGTGACAGCCAGTGACTGTCAGGGGGCAGGGCCAGCCTGACGTCAGCATCATCTGCGGTCACCCCTCTCCCCACCCATCCCTGTCCCCAGTAGAGAATGACCTCATTGCCCCTCCAGAGGGATGCAGGACTGGTCCTGTGCAGAGGGTGAGCAGGCAGCTGCGGATGGAGAGAGATCAGAAGACCCACACTTTTTGCTGAGGAAGATTGGCCCTGAACTAACATCTGTGCCCATCTTCCTCTACTTTATATGTGGGACGCCTACCACAGCATGGCTTGCGAAGCGGTGCCATGTCCTCACCCGGGATCCGAACCGGCGGACCTGGGGCTGCCAATGTGGAACATGCAAACTTAACCGCTGTGCCACCGGGCCAGCCCCAATTTTGCTATGATTTCAAAGGCTGCATGGACCCACTGGGATCTCTAAGCTACATACTATTGCCTTGGTGGGTGGGGAGAGCCGAGAGGCCCAGGAGGCAGGAGGACAGGAAACCTGTTCATCAGAGTGAAGCACAGGAGGCAGAAGGTGCTGAAAGGTGGCAAGGAGCAGTTAAGGAGACTGCAGTCCTTGACTGTTTGCCTAGAGTGGCTACTGATGGACACAATAAAGCTAAATGTGGCAAGAAGGCCACCTGCATGCAGGACACTAACACACTCCAAGTACAGCAATAGGGAAAAAGGGGGAGGGCTGCCCTTTTTCTCTGTGAAAGAACAAAACAAAACAAAACCCAATTAACTGACAGCCAGTCCTGTTATCTCAGCTGGTCCATCCCTTTTCAGCTCTTCTCCTAAGACCCAGCTCCCAATCTGTAGCCTGAGGCCAAACCCTGCAGAGGCCTCTAGGAAGGAACTAAAGATAAATAATGATGGTCCTGAAGATTAGTGGAGAGTGCAAGGGAATCCACTAGAAGGAGACAACCTATGGGCAAAGGAGCCCCACAAGTTGCAGAATAAATTCCCCAAACCTTAAAAAAAAAACACCCAAATGTATTGTATAGGGAAAAAGGAAATTTTGTTTTGAAAACAAAGTTTGGTTTTAAAAATAAACTATTTGCTGTTTCTCGAAAAGGTGCTGACATTTTGCAGATAAGGAGAATGAATTGCTGTCCTGCCTTCAGCCAGCCATGTAAATAGGAGGCAAAGAGGCTAGGGATTGCAAAAGCAGATAACCTCATTAGCAGGCTGGGCTTCTTTATAGATTGGTTGGAACCAGCATGGGTCCCAAATGTGGGCTGTTAGTAATAGGCTTCTGGGGTCAAGTTCCCAGAAACGCTGTTTTTTTTTTTAACTGCAGCACCCTGTGTAGAAAGAAGCAGGACCCTGATCTCAGTGGGTGACAGACCAGGTCACACACATCAGCAGCAGCACCCCTACCAAGGGCCTCAAAACATGCGTTTCAAGACCCCCTCTGGACTGACCACACACTTTGACCCACCTCCTCTGCTCCCTTAGACTCAGAGCCCCCGTGACAAATAGAGGATTCACAGAACTCCAGGGAGATACACATGATATTCTACAGTGTCAGCTTCACTGTTGGCTGTGGACGATTTAATTTGGGTTGCCATGGTGCATTATTTTTTAACAAAGACTTTTCTTTTTAAGACTCTTCTCTTTCCTCCCATTCATTATGTATCACAGATCTCAGCTTTTACGATCAGGAAATCAGATTATAAAATCCAGAATGGGGACAAAGGTTCTATATCTTGTGGAATGGCAGTGAAAACAGGAAGGATTTTAGAACCAAAGTGATCGTGTTTAGGAGTCAGAAGAACAACAAAGCTGGTCTTCAAGATGCCTTATTTGGACAGTAGTTTTTAACGTGTCACTAATAGTTACCAGCCAGGCATTTCAAAGGCAAGAAATTGTTTCCCACAAACTACGTTTTTAGACAGTTCCACGCAAGTAACGAAAAATAATAAGAAAGGGCACGGGATGGTGAGTCTTAAGATGGGATTCTGGCCCTGGCTTGGCCCTAAACGGACCAGGGAACCTCACGCAGGAAGCTTTCCCTCTCTGAATGGCCTCGTTTCCCATTCTGTAAAATGAGGGTGGCAGCCGAAACCGTGTCTCTAAGAGTCACAAATACACTCCCGCAGGACAAGCTTGGTATTCCCCTTTCCCACACGGAAACTCCACTCAGACCTGGCAGTCCTCTCTGACCCCACATCTTTTCCTCTCCTTCTGCTGTATAAGGACCACTTTTTACTTCTTGTAGAGGCAGGCCTGTTCCCTCTACCCAAAGACTGAGCCCCCACTCACCTCCTTGAGGAAGTCTCCCCACAGAGACCCCACTCTGCTCCCTCGTCCTCACGGGTCTCTCCTGACGCACTGACACTTGTTGGTTGCAGCTTGTAAAATACTATGTAGTCATTTTCCTGTGGGTGTGTCTTTTCTCCTCCTGTCCTCCACTCCACTTCCCTGCGCAGCGAGGCTCTGCATGTGTGGGTCAGGACTGGGGAGGGACAACAAGCGAGCAGCCCCTCCTCCCAGCTGGGGGCAGCGCTGCAAGACCACATAGGGACATCCAGTGGAGCTCCCCTTTTCCTTCCTGTCCTGCTTTTTGCAAAGATGGTTTGATACGTACAAAACAAATGGCTCAGATAGGGATGGCAGGCCTGGGGGCAGTTCTGTTCAGGTACAGGGGGCAAAGCGGGGGCTGAGAAATGGGGCCGTGTTGTGTGGTGGCGATGGGTGGGCGCGACCTACCGTCCACGGTGACTTGGCAGGAACACTCGGCCTGGCCGGCGCCATTCTTGGCTACACACTTGTATAAGCCTCTGTCCTCGGGCAGTGCCTTCTCGATGGAGAGGGAGCACAGTGGACCTGGGTGAGAAAGAGGAAGAGCTGTTGAGTGGACCAGGCGAGTCCATACCTGCCCTGGCACCTGGAGCATGGCAGGCGAATGTTACTCACATGGGCAGCCTCTGGGAGCCCAGCAGTCAGAAGTCCCATGGGAACCAACCCCCTCTCCACACCAAAGTCAGGGCACTTTTTGCTGATAACCCAGGTTCAAAATAACTGATCCCTAAATATACTCCCTCCTGCTACCCTCTCCCCCCTTCAGAGAGTTCTCTTATAGGGACATAGTGCAAAGGTACAAAAGAAGAGAGAGAAATAGTCTTTGCCTTTGGAGAGCATCTAATAGTCTAGAAGGAGCAGACGCACAGGCCCTGCACACTGGAACATCACCAAGAGAGATAAGTGGTGGTCAGGCACAGGTTTACAGACCTGTGTTAGGAACAGTGGCAGGGGAGGAGGCTCTGCCCAGCTTACAGCAACGATTCTGCGAATGCACATTAGAAGAGGGAGTTTTGAACAAAGACATGGGTGGGTCAGGGCAGGAGTCCCTGTCCAGCAAAGGCACTGGCCTTTGGGAAGGTCGGCTGGGAGAAGAAGGCGACTATAGCCCAGGAGCCTGGAGCTGGCTTTTCAGGAGTGGTATCTAAGCCGAGAATCGTGGCCAATGAGGGGCGCTGGGCCGGGAGAGGGGCGCTTTGGGGCTGCCTCCCTGCAGTGCGGGGTCTTTTGGTCACATCAGAGAGGGGTGGAGGTGGGCTTCTTTCCCTTCGGGTCTACCCTTGCCTCAGCACACGTCTTCTGGCCTGGTTCGACATACACGAGAATCCGGGGTCTGGTCCTTGCCCATCCTACCTCTCACACCCCAGGCCTGGCTACTTCTCTGGGGCACTCCCTTGGAGGGTTTCCTTTGGGGTGTGGGGAGAGGCCAGCTGAGCAGTGGGTCTGCTAGGCCAGGCAGGAGGGCAGCAGTATCCTAGTTCCTGCCTTTAGACGCACAAATAAGCCATCAGCATGGCATCCTGCCCAAAGCTGCCCCTGTTGTCAGGGCGGCAGTCATCACACACGGAGCAGGATGGAGCCAGAGCCTTGTGCATCCTGCTGCCTGGAGCCGGTGGCTTTGCCTCTGCCTCCCCGCAATGCCCCGCATAAGCCACTGGCCTTGGGCAGGCAGGGATGTGTGCATCCCAGGTGTATCTGTGGGGCAGCATGGCCAGAAGGGAGGCCAAGAGGCACTGCTCCCCAAAGGCCTTGGATCTCAAAAAGTACCCTCACCCCTTTAGACAGATGCAGACTTGACCAGCAAATACAAGGATATTCAGAGAGAGGATGATGTCAATTCTGCCCAGAGAACCTCATTAAGGCTGGAAGAGAAAACACCTGGGTATTGTCTTAAAACAGGGAAGCCTGAGTCCCACTGACCACCTAAGGCAGGATGGCTCATCTGTGCCCCCAGTGCCCCAGCACACTCTCATACAGAGCCCACCTCTCAGGAAAGGCCTCACTACATTCTCCCACAGGGGAGGGCAAGGGCTCAGGATCTCTTCCCACTGCCGTTAGGAGGCAGATTTGCAGAAACTGCATCAGAAAGGATTTAGGTCGGATTTTTAGGAAGTCTGTCATGCGAGTGAGAACCATGAGGCACAGGAATGAGGACATGAGGGTAACTGTCTTCTAGAGAGAGAAATTTCCATTGGTCTGTGAGGGTAGGAGGATGCTAAGATGACCTCTGGTCCCCAAACTCGAGGCTTAGAGGAAACAGACCCCATCTTGCCATTTTCCCTTGGTTTGGGCTGAGGCTCTGGGAGCAGACACCCCACTCCCAACAGACATCCTGCTGGAATCTGATGGTCTTTCAATTTCAGTCCCCCAGCTGCCTGCAGCCTTAAACCTAAATGGCACCAACTGCACCGATGGCAGTGAGACCACCAGGAGAAGGGGGGCATTTAGACCACGCCCCTCACCCCCTGGGTGAGGAGAGGGAAGCATCAGAGCAGGCAGCTTTGTCAAGCCGCCCAAGGCCTGGACCCCTGGCCATGTGCGTGGGCTGGTGGAGGGCCCCCAGGCAGGCTTGGAGGCTCCACCATCCCAGATTGAAGAATCTGGTATTTCCTGTGGGACAGCTTATTCCTGACCTCCAGAAGAAAAAGAGTTTCCCAGAGTTTTTTTGAGAAGCCTCAGCCTGGTGGGGAATTTTGAGAGGGAGATGAGGGGGATGGGAGCGGTCACCACAGAACCAGGAATCTGATGACCGGCTCAGCTAGAACCGTCCTGGGAGAGCCCCTCATGGCCATGTGTCTGAAGATCCCTCATCTTGCTCCTTTTCCGAGTGTGGGAGGAGATGGGAGGACGGGGTGCGCAGGGTGGAGGGGGTGGCCTGAAGCCCTGAGGCTGCCCTCAGTCAACGGTGCCTCCCTGATCTGGTGCCCCTGGCAAGTCTGGTCAGGGCAACTCAGCTCCAGGTCACCGCCCCAAGGATGCTGCCTTCCATGGCACCTCTAAGCACCCCCAGCCGTAGACAGACCTCTTCTGTGCCCTGAGTTCACCTTTATCAGACCTTGTCTCCCAAGGCCATTGCTGAAACACACGCCTGTCTCCCACATTAGCTCTTGGAAGGCAGTGACCGGGTCTATTATGAATGTTTTCCCTGAGCCTGGAATGCAGTCACAGTTAAAAAAATATTTGCCATTCCGAGAATGACCAAGGCGCATTTCTGTAGCAGGTGATCTGCTGGGATCTAAGAGCAAGTCGTGAACATTTAATTAAACATAACCTCCCATTGGAAAAGATAATATAGGTTTTAAAAGGAAAAGTATTCCTAACTGACAGCTCTTCATGTGGATTATGCAGACAGCAATAGGGGCTAGAAGACCGCTTCACACACACAGTAGGTGCTACATAAATCCTTGTGTTTTGTAGGATGAACTTACACAGGTTTTGAAAAAGCCTTTGCAGGATCCCACACTGAAGGCAATTAAAAATGAATCGTCAGTTGACAATGACAACAACAATGAAGTCTCATTGTTAGATTGGGAGGAACGTTTGCCAGGGAGCGAGCCTGGTGGGGGACAGGAAGCCAAGTGTAAGATGAAAGCACTGCTCCGGAGCGGCACACAGCTCCCCTTGGCCCACTGGCCATGGGCCTCCCAACTCCTCGGCCAAGGCCTGAGGAGCCCTGCGGCAGGTCCAGAAAGGGCCCGGACAGCCCCCTGCAGGCTGGAAGGCGGGCCCAGCCGTGGTCAGTGAACACCAGCCGCCCTGCAGCTCCTGGGGATGCAGGACAAGGAAGGACACCTCCATGTCTCTCTGAGAATTAACAGTCAACTCCAACCAACTGCTCACACCCCTTCTGCTCTCCTCGGTGCTAAATGGGGTGAAGGTAATCACGTTTCAGGGGGCCTGTGGGCTACAAGCCCTATCCAAGCTCCAGGGTTCAGAGCAGCCCCCCTGGAACCTATAAACAGAGCTTCCAGTAGCAGTAGGTGCACAGATATACATGTTGATGGCGGGAGGGGAGCAAGAGTCTCCCAAGGCCAAAAGCCTGTGACAACAGTCTGGGAAGGGGTCCTAGAGGAAGTGAATCTTGATCTTAGATGAGATAACAGCACGGGGTTCAGTGTGGTGGAGCAACAAGGGTTCTAAGTCAGGGAGGTGGAGGCAGAGGGGATGCTGAGGGGCGTCAAGGATGGGGAGCCCCACTTAGCCACCTCCTCTGTCATCTCCTACAAACCACCTCAAACCACCAGCTTCCTTATTTCCGCAGATGCCATCACTGTGACCCCAGTCACCCAGACAGTGGCACTCAGTAGTTTTCCACCCCTTCCTCTTCTTTATCCCCTGCTCTCCCCAGCCCCTTCCAAGCCAGGCAACAGATTCTGTTAATTCTGTCCTCACTTCTTGAACTGGTTATTTCCAGTCTGTACCCACGGCTACCTTGTCAGTCTAGGCCTCATCACCTTTCTCCCCAACCTCTTCAGCAGGCTTCTTACTTAACTTTGGGCACAGAATCAATCAAAACTCCTAATCCCCAGCTTTGTGTACATGGCTCCTCATTCCAAACTCTTACATGGCTCCCTATTGCCATTAGAATTGAGTTCCTTAGCATGACATAGGTTGGAATGGGGCCATGCCTCCCTCTCCAGCGCAGACCATGCTGTGAGCAGGCCTGCCTTTGCTGCTGCTGTGCGCCCATCTGGAAAGCCCATACCTTCCCTCTTCCCTGCTGGGGGCCTTGGCCTGTCTTCAAAGTTCAGATCAAGGCCCAGCTGTTTCACACTAGCCTTTCCCTGGCCCCGGCACTCGGCTCCCTCTCCTCCGACTCTCAGCAGCTCATCATCGACACTTGGCTGGAATAGTTTTATCACTGTGAGTGTGTGTCCTCTCTCTCCAGATCTGTTGAGAGCAGATCCACTCGCACCTTTCAGAGTGCCCTATTGCCCGCAGGGGGCCTGCTGAAGTGCTCACGGATAAGGCTTTAAGATAGGCTTTCCCCCCCGGGCTCTTGAAGGCTTGGAGAGTGAGGCTCTAGAGAAGGGATGGTGGACAAAGTGGGGCTCGGATTTTGAGGCAAGGCACTCCCCACTGTGGCAAGGCGGATGGCCCATTCCAAGGTCTACTCCCTCCACTGCAGTGAAAATACCAGAGACTTGACAAGCCCAGAAGGCACCACTAGTCTTCCAGCCTCTTGACAAGTGTTGACAGTGTTGAGGAGTAAACAGCCATTAGCTTGTCCCTTGACAGACAATGTCCTTGGGGTTTTCAGCTGCACCCACATGCTGACATACTAACAAGAATTAAGTAAGAGCCAACAGCCGAGTGAGTGCTCTACACACCGGAACTCAACCACCTGCATTCAAATCCCAGCTCTAACTGGCTGTGCAACCCTGGACAAGGTACTTAACTTCTCAGGTTAGAATGGGCAGTATACTGGTTGTGAGGATTAAATGAGTGAGAAGTGTAAGATGCCTAGGGCAGTGTCTGGCACACAGTGTTCAATAAATGTAAGGCTGTCCTCACTTTTCAAAGGAGAATTATAAATATTTAGAATATTTTTAAAAGTTTGATTTGGGGCTGTCTCCATAATCCCCTCTCAGCCCCCTCCCTGTGTCTCTCTATCCTCTCCTCATGCCAACCTTCTTTTTAGTCATTTCTTCTTTCTCTGCTTTGGACCTAAACTGTCCATTTGAGATGGTTTTTTGTGGGAGGCGATGCTGGAATAGTCAGGTCTCTATCCCACTTAACACTCAGTGACCAGCAGACACAACAGACTCAAGGCCGTCTGGGCAGAACCTAGCCAATGTCTAACGGCTCAGGTGTGTCTTTGAGACCAGGGCTGAGGTCTGCTTACACGGCGTAGCTGAGAGGATTGTTTATAAGTGGCTCTGCAAGTTCCAAGCAGGTCCCAGAGCAGCTGCGTGCTTTGGGAATTGCCCTCAGCTGTCTGAACATCAGTTTCCCTGAGGCTGGTGCAGCCATGGACCTCACACTGTGCAGGTCTGTGTGACTGCCAAGTCCCAAGGATGGTGGCTGCCCACCTTTCCTCCCTCCCCAGGAGATCACCACAGGGTAACCTGGGAAATGCTCCCGATCCAGGTTTCAGATCAGTTTCACCAAAGGCTTTGCAACTGGGAGGGGCCCACAGGGGTGACAGGGAAGGCTGCAGCATCCACTCCCCTGGACATCTCACCCCACCGTGGTCATCCCACATGCCCACCTGTGTGTGGACCACAGGCAGGCTGAACTAGCAGAGGCAGGGGGATGGATGAGATGACTTCGGGAGGACCCTACCAACCTGGGGAAATCCAAGTGAAAAAATTATCATGTCAACACATTAGCAGAAAATAAAACATCCTTCTCTCTCCTGGCCAATTTCCCCTTTACCCCTACAGCATTTAGATTCAAAACACTCAGCTCTTCCAGATTTGCTGTCTGAGATGCAGAGTGAAGAAAGAAACTGCACTGTGAGCTCAGAGGGACCCTGTGATATTCAAATGCTTCATTTGGGCTTTTAAGAGGAAGGAAGGAAGGAAGCTAAATGAGGGGTGAGGGAGGGAGTAGAGAGGGGTCCAGTCAGAGGATGGAAGGGGAGCAGCCCAGGGAGGGGAATGTTTCTGACGTCTTAGTGGACCTGGATCTAACAGGACCTGTTCACTCAGGCCCCTGCTGCAGCTGCTGTCTACCTGTCAAGGGTAAAGGGCCACTTTGTAGGGAGCTTTGCACCCTGCCCTGTCCAGAGGTACCAGCATCAGCCTCAGCCTCAGACCAGAGGACTCTATTCTAGTGTGGCCACCAGAATGGGGTGTGAGCAGTCTGCTGGCCTTGGAGCTCCCATTCAGGCTTGGGGTTTACAAAAACATTTCAAACCAATTTGAGGGTCCAGGGAGAAAATCCTTTCTCACCACCATCTGTTCTCTCGGTGTAAACTGGCCCATCTGAGAACTTCAGACCCCGAAAGGCCCCAGATGGTAGGATTTAGGGCCCCCCCTCTTCTCCCCACCACCCAAGAATGTGAAATACCAGCAAACAAAAGTCTCATCCAAATTAGGAAGCGAGCGGCTCTGTCCGCCGAGAGTTTGTGCCGTAGGGGCTGTTTGGGGTTTGTGGCTTCCCCGGCGGGTCCCTTCAAACCCACAATGTTATAAAGACTTAAGTTGTTGTTGACCCCAAATCACAGTCCTGGGCTATCCCGTCACTGCATACCCTCCCCAAACCTAAAATGCTGCTGCAAGAGCAGCTCTCAGCCCAGAGCCCCTAGTCAGCTCCAGCCCCCTGTGCCCCCATTTCCAAGCCTGTGAACAGAGCCCTCTCCATACCAGAGCTGTGGGGCACCAGCTCACACCCAGGTCTGCTCCGAGGAGCCATGGCTGGGGGTGGAGGAGGGGGCTCTGCCAGACAGATACCTGGGTATGTGCCACAGGCCCAGTCTCCCACCCCTCACCCCCTAGTAATGCAGCGTGTGCCCAAGGGCCCTGAGCAGGGCACCTGTCCTGTGAGTGAAGGGGGCACAGAGGCCAGTCATTCCAACCCAGGCTCTGGGCTATGAGCAGTGATCAACAAGCCCACGGCTCTCTGAGCCGACAGTGACCCTGACAGAGAGCCCCCATCTTCCCCCGCCTTCACCCTTGTTACCTTCTTGGGAGAGGATGATGAACTTGGTGGTCTTGAGTGTCTTTCCATTCAGCATCCAGGTGATGGTGGCCAGGGGGTCCGAGGACACCTGGCACTGGAGTAGCAGCCTCTCACCCTCTGCCACATGGACGTCTTTTAGCTTCTCCTTGAAGGTTGGCGCTGTCCCTTGGCTCTCTGATCTTTTTTCATTATCTGTGGTCCCCGCAAGCCCCCTCTTACAGTTCACATCATTCTTAACCTCCTTGAGTTCTTCTTTCCCAGATGGTTTTGGAGTCTCAGCAGGCTTGGCATTGCCCACAGGTTTCAGGGGCTCATCTGGCTTGGCGTTGCCCACAGGTTTCAGGGGCTCATCTGGCTTGGCGTTGCCCACAGGTTTCAGGGTCTCAGCTGGCTTAACGTTGCCCACAGGTTTCAGGGACTCAGCTGGCTTGGCGTTGCCCACAGGTTTCAGGGGCTCATCTGGCTTGGCGTTGCCCACAGGTTTCAGGGTCTCAGCTGGCTTAACGCTGCCCACAGGTTTCAGGGACTCAGCTGGCTTGGCGTTGCCCACAGGTTTCAGGGGCTCAGCTGGCTTAACGTTGCCCAAGGGTTTTGGGGTCTCAGCAGGCTTGGCGATGCCCATGGGTTTCAGGATCTCAGCTGGCTTGGTGTTGCCCACAGGTTTCAGAGGCTCAGCTGGCTTAACGTTGCCCAAGGGTTTTGGGGTCTCAGCAAGCTTGGCGAAGCCCATAGGTTTTGTGGTCTCAGCTGGCTTGGCGTTGCTGATAGGTTTCAGGGTCTCAGCTGGCTTAAGGTTACCCAAGGGTTTTGGGGTCTCGGCAGGCTTGGCAATGCCCACAGGTTTCAGGGTCTCAGAAGGCTTGGTGTTGCCCACAGGTTTCAGGGTCTCAGCAGGCTTGGCGTTGCCCACAGGTTTCAGGGTCTCAGCAGGCTTGGCGTTGCCCACAGGTTTCAGGGTCTCAGCAGGCTTGGCGTTGCCCACAGGTTTCAGGGTCTCAGCAGGCTTGGCGTTGCCCACAGATTTCAGGGTCTCGACTGGCTTGGTGTTGCCCACGGGTTTAAGGGTCTCAGCTAGCTTGGTGTTGCCCACGGGTTTCAGGGACCCTGAAGGCTGGGCATTGCCCACGGGCTTGGGACTTTCTGCTGCCTTGGCATTCAAGGCCTCAGCATCATTGCTACTATTCTCTGCTGGTAATTTTTTCTTGCTGCCCAGCACCGAGCGAAAATCCGGGGTGGCAGGTTTTGGTGGTGGTACCTTCTCAGGCACTGGGGTCTTGGGAGTCCCCTTCTTGGCCAGGACAGAGCGGAAGTCGACCTGTTGGGGGCTATGCACCTTCCTCTCTTCCTCTGACACAGTCTTTGGCTTCACTTGCCGCTGCAGGTTGGCGCGGAAATCCATCTGCTCAGCTGGGAGCTCCTTCAGGTCTTCCTCTGACAAGGTCTTGGTACTCACCTTCTTCCCCAGGAGGTCACGGAAGTCCAGCTGCTCTACCTCCTGCTGGCGGATGGCCTCCTCGGTGTGCTGCCGCGTCTCCACGCGCCTCTTCAGCACCCCCCGCACGTCCTCACTGTCTTCTTCCTCGGGCCAACCCTGCCCTCTTGCTGGCCAGCTGGGCCTCAGGGTCCCATAGCAGTCTCCACCACCACCATCAGCACCAGCTCCTCGGCCGCAGAGGCCCTCACAGCTGGCAGGCTCCCTCCCCCTGCAACCAGTGAAGGGAAAAAGGAAAGTAGCAGGAGGAAGAGGGGCTGGGTAAGAAAGAGCCGTCAGGGGAGAGCAAATCCCTGAGGGAGGGAGGGTGGAGGGGAGGGGAAAGCGGGGTAGGGGCTGGCCAGGCTGTGTTTATAGAAGGGAACATTGGAGAGAGGCGCTTGCTTGCCTAGTTGGTTTGTTACATCGGTAATGACTTCAGTAGCCTTATAAGGGTGTGTGCAAAAAAAAAAAAAAACCTCCCCCCTCTCCTCCCCTGCTCTCCCTCCCTCATTCCCCTTCCAATCTCTCCCTCTTGGCTCGGGCAGCCTCAGCTGGAGGATACAAACAATCCCGGGCTGCTGGCTGGGCCTGCAAGGGCCAGGACGAAGGTGAGTGGGTGGTGGCATGGGGCCTGGCCGGGCAGCCCTGAGGGGGCACTCACCGTGGGGGAGCTCTGGAAGGGCTGCTCTGGAGCATCAGTGACACCTGGCAACTGCATTCGCCAACCTGGTTCCTGGAGAAGTCAAGGGATCAATAAGATCAAGGGGCTCTGTGAGCCAAGGGTCTGCTCCGCCTAGGTTGTGAGGCGGGCAGGCAGGGCAAGCAGGAATTTGGCCACGGGCTGGCTGCCTCCAGGGAAGATGGGGCCACAGGCTTAGCTGCAACCCCAAAACGCCCACACCAGACCTAGATTTAGGGCAGGGCCCTCCTCCCCTTTGGTCACCCTTTCTGTTCCCAGCTCTTGTTTAAAAAGGAAAAAGAAAGAATCTTCTGGACAACAGCTAAGATAGGCATCCGGAAGTAGGAATACTTTTTGAAGTATATTGCAAAAATAATACAATCAATCAATCACTCACTCACTCAGAGAAGAATGAAGATGAAAGGTGCTGGGGGCTGTGATGGAGCTGCTCAGTTTAGACTGTGTGGCCCCCATCAGCCTGCCCAGTGACCTTGAGTCTGACCCCATCATGCTCCCTTATACAGAAATAGTTACTTCCCTCTCCTCACAATGGCCCCACAACTGCCACTTCTCCTTCGCCTGCTCATGAAATGAGAACACCCTCCAATCCCTACCCATCGGCTAATGCCCTTACAACTCTTTGCATTAAAAACCTAACAGGTGTCTCCCTCCATGGCTGGCCGTTTCTCTTCAGGTGGAGAGGTCCTGGGACTCTTCAACCCACTGCTAAAACCATTCACTCTCCCCGTAGTGCAGGACCAGCTGAGGCCGCTCTGCACCATGCTCAAGCACGGAGGCACTTATAGTGGATCAGCCCTCTGACCCTACAAGGCTGCCATCTGCTGGCGTTTCTGAGCTCTGACCAGCCAAGAAGGTTCTGCAGAGTGGGGGGAGGAAGTGGGGCAGGTCTGAGAGCCAAAGGAGACTCTTCATGATAATAACCCTCCATTTTATACAGCATCCTCCTGACTTTCACATCCATTATCTTTCTTGTCCCCACAACACCCTAGTGAGGTAGAGAGCACTATCATGCCCCCTCTTTTTCTTTCTTTGGTGAGGAAGATTGTTGCTGAGCTAACTCTGTGTATGCATGTGGGTCGCTGCCACAGCAGAGTGCACTGAAATTAACCACTAGGCCATGGGGCTGGCACCCTATCACACCCATTTTAAAGGTAAGGAAAGGAGCTCAGGAGTTTCTGTGAGGCAGTGCTGGGACTCTCGGGGTCTCCCCCTCATTCCCCCGAACGTGGCCGTCTGACTAGCATGAAGAGCTGACGCGTGTCTCAGATGCTACCACAGGTGCACTGAGCTCCATGACAGGTTCCTTACGTAATCCATCTCACTGAATCTTATGACAGTTCTGTGAGGTTGGGGTCAGCACCATTTTCATAGGTAAGAAAAATGAGGCTTATAAAGGTTAAATAATTTGCCTAAACTCAGAACTAACTAGCGGGGAAAAGAGTTGGGACCTGAGTCTACCTGAATCCAAGACCCCACCCTACGGTGTGCATGAGTACAAACCTATTCTGGGATATGTGTGTGTCTGTGCGTGTCTCCACGTGTATGTATATATCAACCACAGGCATGGATACACATGTCTATGGGGTCTACCTGTTGGGCACCTGCACCTGCAGGTCCATGTTTGGGAACACATGCACATGCACAAGTCGTCACCATATGGACAGACATCTGAGCATGTGGTCACGTAGCTCTGCCAATGCATGTGGGTATCCACCTCGCTTTGCCTGGCCTCCCACTCAATGGAGGGCCAGCTCTGGGTCAGACACTAGCAGCCCATGGCATGGCCGATGATTCTCAGGGTCCTGGGCACTGGGACCCATATGGAGCTAGGAGAAGTTGATCTTGCTGCCCTCCCATCCTTCTCTCGTCTGTCGGGGCCCCTCCTGGCCACCTTCCTCAATGCTCAGGCTCTCATGGGGTGCAGATTCAAGGTTCAGAGAGCCTCACTTCTGGAGAGTTTGAGGGCCCAGGGTGCTCCTTTGCTCAACAAACAGCGATTAGGTGCCTCCTTCCTGCCAGGCCCTGGGAAGGCTGAGAAGCTCTTGGAACAGCTTGAGCACTCAACACTCAGAAGGCTGACAGCACCTGGGTCAACCTGTAGAATAAGCACGGGAGGCCATTTGGGAGTGAGGCCTAGCCCCCTGGCACCCCACTTCTGCCAGGCTGCTGGCCAGTATTAGGCCTTTCTTTTCTCCCTTTCCTTCAAGCCCAGGCTGTGGTGCCCGGGGTCGGCGTGCAGCAGGAGAATAGGATGCCCAAGGGCCGCGTTTTCCCAGTAGCCCTTTTTGACATCTCCTCAGCTGAGTTTCCTCCTGTCACAAGTAGAACACAGCCCAGATACAAGTCAGAAGCAGACACTAACCAGATGGCCCTGCTTTCCCACAGCCAGACCCCGCAGAGGCTTTAAATGGTGGGGCGCCCTGTCCCCTGAGCTGGAGTGAGCTCTATCTCCCCACGGGGGAAGCAGGTAAGGACTTCTGCTGTTTTCTGTCACTTGCCCTTAAGGAGGGGAGCACAGGTGACCTGCTGTTCAACCCACCTCCAGGTCTCACCCCGAGGCCCCCAGGGAAGTCAGAGGGGGCAGACGGAAGGTGGACAACTTGGGAGACCATGGCCGGCCCGCTAAGTTGATCATCCTTTGGGATGCTCTGGGGGTCACCATTTCTACAGCCACAAACTTAAATCTCTGCTGGGCGTTTAAGGCAAATCATGGGTTCATCTGGGGCCTACAAAGGTCAGAGAGGCCTCTGGCCTGTGACCCACATACCAGATGATCTAACCAGCTGTAACAGCCTCTTGGGGCCATCTTTGGTGCCTGCACATACTAGTTACAAAGTCAGGCTTGGGGCTGAGGATGAGGCTCCCACCCCCACGCCCAGCCCAGGTGCTGCCACAGAGGATACAGGGCTATCACCCTACGAGCTGCAACTTTTACAAACTAAGAATCTTTTTCGCCCTTGCCACCCAAGCCCTGAACAAGAAGACCACTTTTTTGTCACAAAGCCTTGGACCCTGTCCCCCTCAGGATCACTCACCTCAGGAATGGGTTTTATTTGCAATATTAGTTTAAAGAACTAATTTCCTGGCAAGCATCAATCTTTCAAATATTTCAGCTGGAATTTGGAGCTGACTTTTTGACATTTCCCCTTTTAGTTCAGGAGACAAGAGCTGGCAAGGGAAGGGGAGGTAGAAACCACAGCCCATACCTACCCCACAACTTCAGCAGGGAGAGATAGGACCCCCTCCTCCCCTACTCCCACCCTGCTTCCTCCCAGCTGTCCAGTTTTCCTCCTTGAAAGGCATTCTGTCCTGGGTCCAGGTCTGATTTCTGTCAGGATGAAAAATGCTGGTGGGCAGCAAGGCTCCTGGCAGGCCTGGCACACACTTCCCAGGAGAACTTTCCACTGATTTTCTCCCTCTCAGCTAGAGGCAAAGCCAAGGCCAGGGCACCAGCCTCCCCAAGGAATGAAGAGGCTGGACTCTGGGGAGGGAAGAGGGGCAAGGGCTGTGGAGGTGGGGACTTCAGTGCGATTTCCCAGGTTCCCCAAGGTCCCAGTGCACTTGGGAGAAACAAGGAACGGAAGAGCATCTGACTTAAAGACAGAGACGAGGGTTCCAGCCTGGGCTCTGCTACTGGCCTTCGGGTGGCCCTGAGCAAGTCCATGACCTGGAGACCTCAGTTTCCCCCATTATTAAATAAAGAGGCGGCTAGATCACTTCTGAAGTCCCCTTCCAGCTGAGACAGTCTAAGTTTTATGACTGTCCCCAGCTGGGCCCAGACAGTCTGCCTGCCGACCTCCGAGTGCAACCCTCCCCTCTGGCCTGGCACGCTTCCACAGCCGTTGCTCTGTTCTTCCCGACCCTCAGCCTATCCAACAACATGTCCTCAACAGCCAAGCCTTTACTCATTTGCCAAGCCTCAGCCTGTTTTCCTCAAAATCCCACAACAAGCTCATCTTTTCTACGGTGTCTGGCTTGATCAACACGAGTGTTGTCTCAAGCACCACTCCTTCCACACAGACAAGCTCTATTCTCACTCATAATCAGTTTCCATTATTTGCACTGGCCCAGGGGAGGAAGAGTGCATCTCCTCTCTGTTTTGGAGGCAGATTTGCCTTCCTGATAATAACTGGTTGAGGCACAAGGCCATCGGTGTGTTCTGTGCATACTGCTGATGGTAGCAGGATGACCAGCCAGCCCACAACCATCTCATTGGCTGACCACAGACATGTCATTAGCTCAGCTGAGATTCACTGAACCTTCTCCAACTCAGTAGAACTTTCTGGCAGACCCATACATGCCTAGGAAATAATATATGGCTATTTTTTAAAAGCCACTAAGTACTGGAGTGGTTTGTTACGCAGCAAAAGCTACCCAATACAAGTGTAAAGCACACGCCAGAAAGGATCCAAGTGGATGGGTACATACTGGGTTTTGCGATTACTGAAAGGACAGTGCTCCATCATGGCAGTAGTCTTGGCATGCAACTACAGAGCCTGTCCTTAGCTCAGAGCCTTGAACATGATGGGCTCAGTGTGGGAAAATGACTTATCCAGGAGAGCAGGCCCCTTGCAAAGTGGCCAGGCACCCGAGCCAGAGCAGGTCCAACCATCTTCGGGATGTGGCACAACCTCCTATCTGCAGGGTCAAGGTGCAGACAGTGCTCTTCTTCAACGCCAACCTTAGGGGCTGCATTCTGGCTCCATCGACCCAGGGTTGGCGTGGAATTTTAAGAGTTAGAGCATTTTAAAGGTAGAAGAACATTTCTGGATCGCATTTACTTAACAAATAGTTACCACATGCTGACTATGGGCCAGACCAGTACTGTTCTAGGCACTGGGAACATACCAGTGTGCCTTCCTGGAGCTTAGCATCCTGTGAAATGTAGCAAGACCTTGAAAGGGAGGAAAAAATGAATGGGGATAGTTAACCTCCCTGGAGTGGTTTTTAAACGTCTACAGATTCTTTGATGTTGCTCTCTCTAAGAAGTGCAACTGAATTCCAGCCCCCTTGAGAATGGGCTGTACTTAGTGACTCACTCTAACAAACAGAATATGGCAGAAGTAATGGTGCGTGACTTCCAAGGGCAAGTTGTAAAAGACACTGCATGTTCCAACTTGTTCTCTCTTGGACCACTAGCTCCGGGGAAGGCAGCTCCCATGTCATGAAGACGCTCAAGCAGCGCTATGGACAGGTCCACGTGGCAAGGAGCTGAGGCCTCCTGCCAACAGCCCTGTGAGTGAGTCATCTTAGAAGTGGCTCCTCCAGCCTCTGTTAAATCTTTAGCAACTGCAGCCCCTGCTGACACCTTCAATGCAATCTCATGTGAGAACTGGAGCCAAAATTCATCCAGCTAAGCTGCCTCAAATTCCCAATCTGTAGAAACTGTGAGATGATAACTGTCACTAAGTTTTGGGGTAATTTGTTACACAGCAATAGATAACTAATACATTCCCTCTATCCTCCTAAAATTTTTAAATTGGATTAAAATTCCAATTTTAATCCATTTTTCCCTGCTTCATATTCTCCACACACCAAATAATGGAGGAACAAAAGCCAGGATGTAATACGACAGAGGACTCCTGGGAACTGAGCTCAGAAGGGAAGGCTCTCAATGGACATCTGTTGGACTGAAGTGGAAGAAACAAAAGCTCGTCAGCAGCTCCAGGTCAGCACTTCCCATACCTTGAAGCCCAAGCCCCACATTGTTTTGTGCTTCCTCTGATTTCCCAGTTCCAGGTAGGGACTTTGACAGGAGGCAGGAATTTGGGGGCTGGGGGTGACAGGAGGTTGGCAGGACACGTGACGCACCTGAGCAGGATCTCATACTGGCCGGCATGCCAGGGCTGTACATTCTTTAGAACCAGGGTGAACACGTCCTCATTCTGTAGCACCTCAAAGTGGCCAGCGTCTTTGGAGAGGGCTTTGCCATCTCGCAGCCAGTGCACGGTGGGGAAGGGGTCACCAGCTATGGCACAGGAGATGAGGACGCTCTGGCCCAGGGAGGCTGTCACCGAGCGTGGTTTGCTGATGAACCAGGGCTGGGTGCCATCCTGAGGCTCTGGAAGTTGGCAAAGGGTTGCGTTAGAGAGGGAGGCTTTTCAGCAGACAGCATCCATTCAACTCTCCGAGGAGGTGAAGGTTGAAGACAGCATGTTATCCAAATAACAGCTTGTCCAGAAATCACTTTTATTGGATAGATAGATATAGCACATCCTTCTCAGGGCCAATCTGTCTTGGTTACATTCTCGAGGATGATATTAACATGCATTTGTATATTCAAAGCAGGGGGAGATAGCCTCGACTACAAGGGCATTGGGCTAGGTGCTAATGATCGACATCAGATGTGCAGGGTTAAGAGCTGTCACCCTGCTTTATGTGTGCTTAACTTGTCTCTCCTCTTAAATATAGGGCCTCTAAAGGTAAAGACCCCAACAGACCCATTAACTCACCTCAAAAGCTATCATCATCAAATTGCTAAGTGTATTCGAGATTTCTCTCCTAGCACCCCATGCAGCTTGAACCTATAACCCAGAGAGGACAGGGACTTCAGAAGGCAGAGATGGCTGGCCCCACTCAGCCAGAGCCTGAGATGTAGGGTGGGGAGCTGGCCTCTGGGGCTGGGATGGGACCAAGGGACAAAGCAGGCTCACGTGGTTTCCTTGCCTCCAAATCACTTTTGGAGAGACCAGGGCAGCACCTCCTCCCTGGCGCTGGGCAGCCTCACCTTGCACTGTGAGCACGGCCTGGGTGCGGACCCCTCCAGCGCTGTTCCAGGCTTCGCAGGTATAGGTGCCCGTGTCCTCAGGGAACACCTCTTGGATACAGAGGCTGTGCTGAGTGCCTCTCTGTTCAAAGTGGAAGTCCTCCGACTCCTGGATCTCATTCCCATTGTGAAGCCAGATGACTTCAGGGGGCGGGTTCCCTGAACAGGGAGGAAGGGCAGGGGGACTGGTCAGGGAGGTGCTTCCCTGGGCCACGAGGCAACTCTGTACTGGACTGTGGTATTGTACTAGATGCTTGTTGGACTCGCTCGGCTTCAGTTTCCCATCCATAAACTACTCTAACAGCATCCACCTCATAGGTTTGTTGGGAGGATTAAATAAGTTAGTATAGCCCCCCTTAGCAGCCTACTAGAATAGCAGATTATAACAGCATCCGGCACAAAGAAAGTACTCAATGCATGCTCATTATAATTATTTAACAACAGATTTGGGGAAACTAGAAAGAATCCAGAAGTGAAAAAATATTATTTCAGAGATGAAAAAGAAAAGCCAGGAAGAATAGCTTTTAAAATTAGAATTCAGGGGGCAGCCCAGTGGCGTAATGGTTAAGTTCATGCACTCCGCTTAGGTGGCCCGGGGTTCACCTGTTCGGATCCTGGGCACAGACCTACATACCACTCATCAACAAGCCATGCTGTGGCAGCATCCCACACAGAAGAACTAGAGGGACCTACAACTAGGATGTACAACTACGTGCTGGGGCTTTGGGGAGAAAAACAAAGAGGAATATTGGCAACAGAAGTTAGCTCAGGGCCACTCTTCCTCGCCTCCCCCCCAAAAAAAAACAAAACCTTTAAAAAATAAAAATAAATTTAAAAAAATTAGAATTCAAACTGCTTGATCATACTGAGTGGTAACTGGATCACTGGGTTCGAAATGAATGTGTTGCCCACGCTGCTCTGCCTTGCACGGTGCATGTGTGGCCAGGTGGTGCAATGGTAACTTCACAGTGACTCCCTTGTCAATTTTCAGGAAAAGGAAAGCTCAGTGTGCATTTTGTTTTACAAACTCCACACAAATGTCCACTGGGCACCAGCTCATCCAGGATTCCCCAAAATGCCTCATGGTGGACAGCCTTTTCAGTTTTTACTAGTCTACTTTCCTAGGGAGTTTCTAGCAATTTGTCAGGATATAATACAATGGCCACCCATAAGGGCTTCCTCTGTGGTAAGAGCTGAGCCATTATGCTCTGCTTCCAGAGAAGCAAGGCCCCTGGAAGGGTTGCTGAGGGAGGCTGTGAGGCGTCAGGCTCCGGAGTGGCCCGAGGAGAGAGGAGACCATCCTCTGTCTCTGATGGGTTAGCTAACACGTGTCTGTGGGCCAGGTGCAGGGCGCCTCTGATGCTGTCAAGTGTGGGCAGGGGAGGAGACGCAGCCCTCCACCTGGGACTGTCATGGGACTGCCAAGGAGTTCATCCGAGGATCCCTAAAGGGGCGAGCGCACAGGTTCTCTCACAGCTCAGCTTTATTGTTCTGCAGCTCCAGAGGAACTGGAAAAGCAGGAGAGCGACCTCCAGGCTGTCAGCAGCCAGCAACCATTTAGCAATGAAGGGGAGCTCTGGATGCCTCCAGGCACAAGCTCGCTGGAGCTCCTGTCAGTAAGATGCCCCAGGCTTCTCTCACTGGCCTCCAGCAAGGACTGTGGCATCTCACACTGGGCCGACAGTCACATGTTCTTGTCACCCCACACCTGTTTGAGGACCTCTGCTTCATCTTCTCACCTTAAAATTTGAATAGAGCAGCTGAGAATATCTTCCCAGAGTTGGGAACTTCTCACATCATCTGGTTTTGTGCCAGGGTTCAAAATCTTGCAGCTATTTTGGCCACATGATGTTTTCACATTAACCCCTCACTCTTCTAGCTATGGCCATCTTCTGCCCCTGCACCAATTAACCTTGAATCCAGAGAAAGCAAAAAAGAGGGACCAAGAGGCTCATCTTCTTTGGGCCCATTGACTGACAGTCCCACGCTAATTTTCTGGGGGACCAAAGATCTGAGTGGAGCATAGGGGAGCAATGCCCATATTGCAACTGTGTCCATTTTCACATACACCCTGAGGACAGAGATGCAGAGACAGACCTGACACCTGGACTGTCATGGTGACCTGGCTTCCATCCATGACTCTGAGATCAGAGAGGCCCTGCAGGAAGCGGGGTGCAGTGGACTTGCCGGGAGCCATGGGTAGGAGGTACTCGCTCTTCCTGTCACTCTTCTTTTCTGTGTGGCAGACAACAGAATGTGCGTGAACATTCATTCATTCATTCAACAAACACAGACTAACCGACCACTTGGCACATGACTGTGTTGAGGCTCAGGTTCCCACCAGAAATTGACTGCTAACAGATGAGGCGTTTGGGGAGGCCCTGGAGATCACTGGGAACAAGGTGCGCCCAGTTCTCTGCTCAGCATCACAGTGCTCTTGCTGGAGAGCAGGAAAAGAATGAGGCCTCTGCAGAGCCCTGCCCGATCAAGGCTCCAGTTCCTCAGGAGAACTTCGAGGGGGAGAAGCCAACACTTGGCATCTTATGAGATTTTTTTCCTTAAATTTTATTTACTTGTTTGAATAAGGAATACCCTCACATGGCACAAAATTCAAATGGTACCAAAGAGTATGTGTCAAGTCTCCCTTCCTCTCGCTGTCCTCCAGCCATCAAGTGTCCATTCCCAGAGACAACCCAATCTCAGTTTCTCGTTCCTCTTGCCAGAGATGGTCTAACACACAAGCACATAGGCATACTCTTTCATTTTCTTCTTTTTTAAAAAGATGGCAGCATAGTATACACAGTGATTGGCGTCTTGCTTTTTCATTTAACAATATTGCTTGATGTCTCTCCTAACACAGAACTGAAGAGCTTCGTCACTGTCTTCTACGATTGCATGGCTCCACCGCCATCTCAAGGGATTTAAGCACCTCAAGAAAGCTAAAGACACTACGCTCATTAGAATGCCAAAAATTAAAAAGACGGATCATCCCAAGCACTGGTGTTGGCAAGGATGTGGGCAAGTGGATCTTGCATACACTGCTGGTGGGGGTGTGAAAGAGTAGAGTTCAGCAGTTTCTTAAAAAGTAAAACATACGTTTACCATATGATCCAGGCATTCTGCTTCTGGTTGTTCACACAAGAGAGATGAAGGCACGTGTCTACACAAGGACGGGTGCACAAACAGTCTTGTGACCCCTTTATTCCTAATGGCCCCAAACTGGAAACAACCCAAATGTCCACCAATAAGTGAATGAATACACAAATTGTGATATATCCACACAATGGAATACCACTCAGCAATAAAAAGGAATGCACTAATGACAGACACTACAACAGGGACAAATCTCACAAAAATTACATGGAATGAAAGAGTCCAATGAAGAAAGAGTACATACTGGATGATTCCATTTATAGAAAGTTCTAGAAAAGGAAAAATATAGTGACGGAAAGCAGATCAGTGGTTACCTGGGGCAGGCGTTGGGGGCATGGATTGTAAAGGGGCACAAGGAAGGCTTTGGGGGTGATGGAGATGCTCATATTTTAAGACCGTGGTGGTTTCACAGGTGAAGGTTTCAAATTAAACACCATAAATATACACAGTTTATTGTCCATCAATATGACCTCAATGAAAACTGAGGGGGAAAAGCTCTCTCTCTGGGAGAGGGAGGTAGTATCTGGTCAAAGATAAAAATGAGACCTCTCTGGGTTCAGGCCTGGCCCACTTACCCCCATTCGGTTCTCTGGGGAGACGGGTTAATAAATAGGCTTTCCATTATTCTTGGAATCCTCCCCAAGCTGGGCAGCACAGTGGCTGAGCCGGTGTCTATTTCCAGCACCAGACAGCCCTGGTGCAGGACAAGCTCCCAGCTTCCAGTCTTGATCTTGCCCTTTGTCTTACGAGCCAGGTGGCTTTGACCTTCAATAATTCTTTTTTAGCTTGTCCTGTTTCTCTCTTTGGGCAGGGGCAGGGGTCGGTACGGAGGGCTACACTATCTCTAACTTAAACTCTAAGTTTTGTTTGGGGGAAACAGACTCTGGTATTTTGGGTTCTTATTTGCACAGGGCCACAAATACCAGATCTTCTGCAGGCGGCTTGTAGCCATGGGGATACATTTCCAGGGTGCTTTACATACCTGAGAAAGGCCTAACTCCAAATTTGCCACTGAATTTTTATCTGTTGGCACTGGAAATAAAACATGATCCATGGCTGAGCTCTCCCAGTGCAGCCTCTGGGAATGAGGCTGGGAGAGGCTGGGAAGCTGGAGGAAAATTTCCCCCAAGCCAGGTGCAGCGTGCAGGGCATGGAGCTGGAGTGCAAGCGCAGTTGAGACAGAGGAGCCCCAGGAGAGAATGAGCAGAGAATGGGCTCTCAGGCCCCTGCTGCTCCCCCCCGCCGGCATCGGCATTGCTGCCTTTCACAGAGGGGCAGCCAGGCAGCCCTGGCCTTGGCAGCAGGCTCCTGGGAGTGGGCTCGGGGGGCCCAGTATTGGAAAGGCAGAGATCTCATTTCTCTGACTGGGTTGCAGTGGCCAGAAAAGCGCACTGCCCCGAGAGAGTTGAGGAATTTCCTGTCTTGCACAGACTGAGAAGGCTCAAGGACAAAATGTTTTTGCCTGTGCAGAGTCCTCCCTGTTCCCACCTCTCAGGCTGAGTCCCCAGCTTCAGCGCTCTGTGATGTGGGCTCTGATTCCTAGGGGCTGCGGGAACACCAACAATGCCAGCTCCTTCAAGCCAGGGGTGCCCCCCTACAAACACACTTGGGTCTTCTCACTGCCCCATTCCTGGCCTGGGGCTCTGGCAAAGCCACGTCACCCTATGGCTCTCAGCCAGTGGGGACTAAAAGCATATCTGCACCTCCTTCTCTTGACGGTGGCCTGGCCACTGCCTCCCACACGGTTCTCTGGAACCCACTGGAAACGATCTAAGGCCGGGGCCTGGCCTTGGACAAATCACGGCCTCTCTCTGAAGCTCGACTTCCACATCGGTATTTAGGAAAACAATAGCATCATCACAGGACTTTGGAGTTTTAAAGAGACAATATGTGAAAATACTTTGAACAAGGATTCACCATGGACGTTAACATTTGAGCGAGGCTAGCACGGGAGCTGACCCACACCCATCCACTTGGGCTCGGCTACTCTGTGGGTTTATCAACAGCAAAAGAACAGACAGAGAGTGGGCCCTCTCCCAAGGATCACAGACTCATTTTTATTTGACCAGAGGCAAACTCTGTTAGGAACACAAACGTGTCGCTTAAAACTATCATGGGATACATCTAAAATAAATTGAGAACAAACTTTGGCTACACGTCCTCCAGGAGAGAGATGAGTGAGAGAGACTAAATATGTGGGAACTGGCCCTGGGGCAGGCACTGGGTTCCCTCGCCTCTGACCGTGGGCTTCGTTCCCCCAGACCCCACAGCAAGAATGGAGGGAAAAGGGAAATGATTGGGAGTCCACGTGCAGAATGAACCTGTTCTCAGACCTGCAGTTTGGGGTCACCGGGACTAGAGGGACTGTGAATCCAGGCTGGTGAATGGCTGAATCATCCCCAGCATTCAACAGCCCCAAATTCTTCATGGGGTAAGAAAACCAACCAACCCTCCCTACAAACACACTCTGCACTGGGATAAGGAGCTGGTGAGGATCTCAATTTGGGGGCAAGGAGCTTCCTTTAGGCAGTCTGAGAAAAGCCACCCGAACTAGAACCCCGAAACCTGAGTCCCAACCCCACCACCCCACGTTACTGATAGAGAGGCCAGGACATGCCCAGGGGAAGTGACTTGCCCAAGGTCACAGAGCCAGTTACAAGCAGACCTAGAGCTCACACCCAGGCCTTCTGATGGCAAGGCCAGGATGTCCTGGAGACTGTCTCCAGTGGTGCCCAGGGTGAACTCTCCATGAGGACAAATGCATTATCTGCTGATCCACATCCTAGGTCCTTGACAAGGGGGGAAAGCTAAATCAGAGCAGGGGCAAGCCAGGTGAAAAGGGCAAGGTGTGTGTATTTCACTTAATTCCAAAGCCAAATAAATGATTCCGGCTCATCTGTGGCCCATAGACCATGCCTCCGTTTGTGCTCAGTCTCGTGTAGACTCATAAACTGAGAAGTGACAGACGAAACTGGCCCTCTGAACTCACAGCTCTAGCTGCATGATCTCAAGCAAGTTCCCCAAGCTAAGCCTCAGTGTTCTCTCCCCCAAATGGATGATAATACAGTTAACATCAATGATGGATGATGATACAATATTGATAAGTGTAATGCTTACATCATTAGCGTAACGTGATAAATACTGTAGCGTTTTTAGATGATTAAAAGAAATTATGTAAAACAGCTAGAACATTATCTGGCATGTAATAAGTATAAAAATAAATATTCTGTGCCTTTCCTAACCCAACTGACTTTTTCGGCTGGGCAAACTCAATCTGACAAAAACTACAATAAGAAAAGTCCCCCAAACCGGGACATTCACATTTCAGCAGGCGGAGATCTGAAAGGACATCAACAGCTGCCAGTGAGACAACATTGTAACAATTCCTTACAAAGTTCAGCACTTCATGATCCCAAAGGCGTTCGCAGCTCCAGCTCAAGTCAGTGTTAACCTCAGCATCCTCTGACGTAGGGCAGATCGTGTCCCCATCTTACAGCGGAGGGAGCTGAGGCTCAGAGAAGGAAGCTGGCCTGTCCGAAGACCCTGGGGCTGACATGGCCAGCAGGGTCCTGGTCTGGATGCTCTCCCTCTGCTGTCCTGAGGACAAAGGCCAGTCCTGAGATTCCACTGGGAGCTTTCTGTCACTGTGTTCACGCCCAGAGTTCCCAGTTACCCTGGAGATGTGCTTTTCTGGGGTTGTGCTTCAGGCGTCATCTGGCACAGTTGTGGTCTGAGGCAGGGGCAGGTGGGCCAGGGTCTGAGGCAAGAGGCCCGCATTGGCAATGGCGCCTCAGGGAACCTGACCCTTCTTCCTTTGGGAAGAGCAAGCACTGGCCGCGGCACACAAATAGCAAGGGAGGGGTCCCTGGGACCCAGTGACAGACTTACTACCGAGCTCAGATGGGGCCAGACTAAATATACCCCAGGTTTTCCCAGCTGTGCTTCCTGCTGCTCTGCTGAGGTCAAGCCCAGAGAGGGCCTTCTCTCTGGAATCAAGGAAGAGCCAGTCTCCTTGATTTACTGGCCTAGGATTAAAGATTTAAGGTGAACTGATCTGTGGCTCTGGCACTTGGTCAATCAGCCGATGACTCTCCATTCCCTCCCTGACTTGCTCCATCGTTAAACTGAGCAGCTAGCCACCGGGTGCACTGTTCCACTGTGAGCGAGAGGAAAAGGACCAGCCTGTCCCCCTACGGGGAAGACAGGAACAGAGATTAAGAATACTTGCCAGCAGGTTATTGACAAGTAAACATGATGCCACAGAGACTGAAGCTGTCGACAAGACTCGAGAAAGGGAAATGAGGAGAAAGGAAAGAAGAGAGAAGAGAATGGGGAGAAGAGAGAAGGATTGTGGGTGAGGGATGGAGGGAAGGGGTGAAGAGAGAGAGGGAGAGACATCACTTTCTGACCCTAGTGACCCTTCCAGTTTTTCCTCCTTGGCCATTTTGCTCTGTTTTGACTCATCAGAAACTGTTTTTGAAGGCAGTCCCTAGCCATGCACTGAGACATTAAATTCTCGCTCTTGAGCATCAAACAGACGACTTCTCAGGGCCCCTGAGCAGCAGAGTAGAAAGCACATGGCTGCTCCTGTTAGCTACACTGTGTGGGCAGCTGACTTCACCTCTGACTGCTGGTTTTCTTCATCTGTAAAGTGGAGTTAATTCAAAAGTGGAAAGTGGAGTTGTTATGGGAATGAAATAAAACAAACCAGCTTTCTAACTGGTTAGATTTTTTTCCATCAAAACAACGTTCCTCATTAAAAACACTCAGTGATAGTGGTTTTAGTTTAAAAACACTCATACGAATTGGTATTAACCCAGTATTTTATTTTGAAAAGCTCTTATCTGGAGAAAGAGTTAAATACCCACCGTAGCAGGTACAATTTGTTACCTTTCTCATTAATTCTTACACAATAACCTGCATAACCTGTTCCTCAAACCTGGAGACGCGAACAGGCCATTAGCTTCTCTTGGTCTTGAAATCAAGGCTCCTCCAGCCTTTGGCCAGCGGCTTGCGGCGAGCTCATTCTCCCTCTCCACTACAATTCTCCTGCTCTTTCCTTCCTACACCTTCATTTCCTTTCTATGGATTTAGCAGGAAAAACAATTCTGAATTGTTTCCTTGGAGGCCTTTTCTGCAAGAAGCGTTTAGTCTACTTTTACTAGCCAACTCGCTCCTCTCTGAAGCCCCACATTTATGGATCCGAAGTGCATTAAATGCACACGTTTACGTGTTGAGTACTTTTCCTTGAAAACTGCCCTCTGCACGCTCCCAGCTCATTCAAATCTTGTTTCAGATGAAAACAAAAAACTGTGGAATGTTACATTTAAAGTGTTTAAACAGATGACGCAGAAATATAAAACAGAGCCAGAATGTTGGTACGAAACACTCGACCATCTAAGGAGCTCGCTGGGCTCTCCTCTGTGGAGGGACGCCCCTGCTGCTGTCACTGCCATTTACTGAGTCCCATTCTCAGAGCTCTAGCCCCGGTCTGTCAGCAACTTAAGAACATCCTTGGATTCACGGGTGGTCACCAAATGAAAACAGACGTGGAATGGCCCTCCCCTGCTTCCTACCATCACCTCCAGCAACACTCCTCAGAGGAAGACACACAGATCTCCTGAAAATGCATGGCTGGGGGGAGGGAAATGATTGCCTTATCTTGGATCTACTGAGGATTTTTCTTAAGCTTTGAACCTGGGCTGTTTTCCTTAGTCATTATGATACAAAATAGCATTCTGACAGCAAATCTGATTCACTGTGACCCTATGGAAATTCAGTAAATCACCAACTGAAGGGGACTTCTGGAAACACAACCCTTCCTTCTTCCTTTATTTGGTGCTCAAAGTCCGGCATGGTTCAGGGATCACAGACCAGCCTCCTCCTTCCCCTAAATTCCGGGACCGTTGACTCTAGAGGACTCCTCCAAGGACGGTTACCTTACCCAGCCGAGGGGAAGCCGAGCCCCTTCTCAATTGCAGGCCATTTATGAGAGGTGTAAACTCCCAGGGAGGTACTGGAATTCTCTTCCAACAAAATTCTGTCTCCTAACCAATAAACCTACCAGGAGAGTCAGCAAAATATCTACTTCCGTGGCATAAAAAGAGATTCTTCCCCCTATAGCCTTGTTCTCTTTTGGTTTTCCTTCCCCCCACTGACTTCTCCAGAACATAGGCAAATGGGAAGAGAAGTGTGCAAGGTGACAAATAAAAATGGCAAGCAATAGGATATATTGGAGAATATGAGGAAGCCATTTGGTATAAAGCTAATTCGGCCTGACCTTGTCTTTCCCAAAGGGCCTGACCGTGGCTGTTGAGCATGCATTGTATATCTGCTTTAGACTTTCCCTACAGGCAAGAACAAAGGCCCTTGAGATAAAGGTGCAACTTCCCTGCCCCTCCCAACGTTGGCATCTCCTTAAGGATTAAGCATCTTTCCTTAGGCTAGAAACTGATTGCTGTGCTCTTCTGTGACCTCCCAGCTCGAGACAATAGACTTGCCTCCTGCTATGCCCACCAAGATAGCAGACCCACAACCTGCTGTGTCCATCAAGTGCCGTGCCCACAGGGCAATCTTGTGACTATTGTGGGAGGGACATTTCAATCATATGTGAAACACCCTGTTTGGGGGTATATAACCACTCTGTGCACCCCACTTCTTCAGTGCCCTTTCTTCCTGTGGGAAGAAAGGCCCCCAGATTTCAGCTCAGAATAAACTCACCCAAATTTTCATTTATAGACTGGTTATGGATTATTTTCGTCGACAAAGGAAAAGAATGAAAGGAAACAACAATGCATGAATGCCCATGATGTATTGGTCTCTGGCTGGTAATGACAGGGCTGCTAGACAGGAAGCTGGGATCACTGCAACCACAGCCTTCCTACGGCCTCCAGAGCTATAGCCAAACTCTGAACGTAAAGGTACAGCATTGAAACCACCCATGCTCCCTCCCCAGAGTGCCAGGAAACCACATGCCACAGCGCAGAGCACACTGGGCATGAGGGGCACACAGCTGTAATTCTGGATTGCATCCTTGACCATGGACTCCAAGCAAGTAAGGTAGACATCGTAGGTAGACATGACCTACGATGGGCTGCAGAAGTAGACAGGTATAAATCTCTGACTGTCCAATAGTAAAATGAGGCTCCAGTTCTATGACACAGACACAAATGGACCATATATACTCAGAAGTCCTTCTGTGACACGAAAGACCCACATGTCCAAATTCTGTTGTATTCAACCTATATAAAACTAAAATATTGGTTATAAAATAATTTAACATTTAACTGCTTGCCTTCTTAGAATTTAAAAGACTTTTGGACACATGTTTGGGGTGGACTAAGGTTCTTAACAAATTAAAAAATAGACAAGGTAAACCTTTCATCCTTCTCCTTCAGTAAATTTCTCTTTAGCTAATATACATATTAAAAATGTTTTCAGTGCTTTCAAACTCATGGAGGACAGGTCCATACCTGATACCAACTGGACAGATTATATTGTGGCCAAAGTTCCTGAGCATAATTTAGGAGAGAGGAGGCGGCAGTCCGTGTCTTCCATTAAAATGATGGGAAGCTGTCGGATCTCGAAGCTGCCCCACGGAGGGTCCATAATGAATCTGAAAACCTGGGCTTCTACTGCCACTGTCATTGTGAAGGGCTGACTTGCTGGTGACTGCTATTTTCATTAGGAGGTCTTCATCAAAACATCAAAACCCTAATAAAGATGCTCATTAAGTTTCACATTTTTCTAGAGATCAGGTTATTTTTTTTCTAACATACCCGCATTTTATGTCCTTAGATGACTTTAACAGGCCCAGCAGACCTTCAGATAAATAAACAAACCATTAGGCTGAAACTATGTCAAAACGGGTACAATTAGCAGGTTAATAAATCCAGTCACTTAAGAATTTTACCCTTGACAAAGATACTCCAGGGGGAAATAAATTAAAATATTCTAGCCTAAGGAAGCCCCCCACCAGTGACTTAGTCCAAATAAACTGAAATAGTTTTTCTCCTTCAGGTCTTCCTGCATTCTGCAGGAATCCAGATTCACCATCCTTTCTTTGGGCTCCGTCCTGGGTTTGGAGGGAACGTTTTCACCGCCTGGTTAACTATTGGGGATTTTTCTTCTAGAGTAGGGGGAGGAAAGGAGTATTTGGTGAGGGACTCTTGAGAGCTGGTTTGTGGCTTTCCTACACACTCCAGTGAGCACTGAGCCCCAGGGCAAGTGAGGAGGTGGAGGGAGTGCCCCCTGCACTGGGGGAGGCTCACCCACGT